AGAAAAAACTAAGCGTAATAAATTAGTGATTTTTAGATTCTGAGTTTAGGGAAAAATGTATTGATTTTACAAAGATGTTGAATTTATTTTTATTTTTTTTTTATGTTAACACTTTTTTTACAAGAAAGCTTACTCCGATTATCAAGTAAAACACATTTTCTGAAAGGAAATGTTCTATAGGTGGGACTTTGGAGAGGTCATTTTTTGGAATTCTCATTAATATTCAAGATAATGAGAAAACCCGGGTTCTTTAGGTTAGAAAAGATTAAAAGATTAAAAATAACGTTGTCATTAGAAACCGTTTTTATTAATTTTTTGTCATTATCATTTTGATCTTTTTTAATCAATCATTGTTATCATGGAAACGCACATTGTTGTAATCATTTTACCATAATATAACATATATATTGTTGACAAAGCAACACTATCAACTGAACTGCGCTCAGAATCGTTTTTTGTTACCGATGGTTTATCGTTGCTTACAGATATACATTAAACTCCCGTCTGTATCCTAACTTTCCAAAATCCAATCTACAACAGTGGCTGCGCCCACGAGCGAAGTATGTCCATTCTTTTTTTTTTTTAAATAAAAATATGATCACAGAATATACCTATGATATCTATTTTGAAATAAGTATATCGTACAAAACTGTAATTGGTCACACAAGACGTGTTATTTTTTTTTTTTCTCTCAACTAATTACGTCTCAATCCTAGCGCAGCAAATTATTAATAATATAATTACGTACCTACTTATCAATATTCCGATGATCGGGTTTCTATGCACTCCACAGATATAGATAATATACGCATATTGTACATAACTGCATTCTCTTCAAATAATCTCAATTGATAACTGTTATTTTACAATATAATTAAAATTTTTTTTCATAATTTATTTTTCTGATCGCTTGTTATTTTAAATCTTTTTAATATTTCAAATCACTCCATTTCACGTTCTCACGGCTGTTTAACGTTTCATGTTTTAAGCTTCACTGCTTTAGCTTTTTATTTGAATGCCTGTTAATTTATTTTGCTCTCGAAATGAGTGACAATAATCGAATCGTTTTCATTTGATGTGTGTGTACGATATTGTTGGGTACACTTTTAAATTTAAAATTCCCGCCGGCGCGGTCTGTCCAGCAGGTAAAATCTTATCGGCGTCGCGGTACCTTTCGTGCCGCGGGTTGGTGGTCGGCGTGGTCTCGTCGCGGGTTGGAGGTCGGCGGGGTGTCGCCGCCGCCGAACCTGCACGACCGGCCACCCCTTTATTCACGATACCGTGCTTTTTCCGTCGTTCGTTCGCCGTCGTCGTTGGTACATTACGCATCCGTCGTGTTCTTACGTTCGCCTTGATTGCCGTCGCCATAAACCCGACCCGCGATAAGTGTGCCGTCGTAAAGTTTGAACGAATCTCGAGCCCTGCCGCAAACGAGCATTCGTCAGACGCGACGCGAAATCGCGCGTCCGTTTTCTCCGTGCGCGAACGCCGCGCCCTTTCACGTGGCCGTCCATTTTCGCCGCTGGCTGCCGTATTGACGTTGCGGTCCGTTCGTTCGTTCGTTCGAAATCTGCAACCCCACGCGGTCGCGGATCGTCGCGCCGCTCGTGTCGGCCGTCGCAGTAACCGCGACACCGAGCGTCCCGTCCGTTGGTTTTCGTTGCGCACCCTTTCACGTGGCCGTCCATTTTCGCCGCCGGCTGCCGTATTTACGTTCCGGTCCGTTCGAAATCTGCAACCCCTCGTGACCGCGGATCGTCGCGCCGCTCGTGCCGGCCGTCGCAGTAACCGTGACACCGAGCGTCCCGTCCGTTGGTTTTCGTTGCGCGCCCAACGCCGCGCCGCCGGTTGCCGATCGTTACATCGTTTCGTCCGTTTTCGTCGTTGCCGTCAACAACGAGCGTTTCTTTCCCGCATTCGTTCGCGCCCGACGCCCGACACACGTTATTGTTACGTCGTGGTCCCGTGTGTAACGCCGTTCGCAACGGCCATTGTGGTACGTCGCACGCCCGCACGCGCGTTCCGCACCGCCGCCGCGTCGCACCGGGGCTCCGCACCGCCACCGCCCCGCACCGCCAGCTTTATCGACCAGCTACCATCCCAGCCCAGACCGGGGTTTCGCCGCTTATCAGGTAGTACACGCGTTATCACGCATATTCACTATTGTTTACGTTCGCTTTCCGCCCGTTATCTACTCATCGGTATTCCGAATTATCCATTGTCTATTTTTTTTTTTTTTTTTCCTGTTCGCCGTTCGTTTATTCAATATCGGCCGGCCGCTCGCGGTCCCGCCATCTTGCCAACGCTAGTTTTCGAATCGATCGTCGTTGCTGCGTTGTAAACACAACGCGTCGCCGATACTGTTGCCCGTCGAATTAGCTGTTATTTATTCACCATCTTTCCGGGCGATACCTACCCCCCCTCCCTCCGGTACACCGGGAACCGTAGGTACGTACGTCTCCCCGATAAGTATTGTTCGTTTTATCTACACGGTACACTATTCCTATTGCTCCTGCCGACAGGTCACGCGTCCCGCATCGTGCAGCCGCACACGTCGCACAGTTGTAATTAATCAAGGTTTGGCCAGCGTGACCGGACCCGATTGGGCAGAACGGTACCGATTGTTTAAAAAACGTTCCGTTGAATTTTTCATAGTCTAGTCGAGATGATAAAATTTACCTATTCTCATTTAGCTCGTGTAATTTTCTACGGTATTCTCTTTTCATAACTGTACCTACTTGTGTCTCATCAGTCGGCAGAGGTAGGTAGTTGAACGTCGTTGAAAAACGTTTGTAAAAAAACCAAGAACCATACTTTTATGCAATAAATTCGCATACCCACAACAATACCTACGTCCAAACAATTTAATCATGTTTGCATAAAATATAAAACTGTAGGTACCTACCAATGTAAAAATTTGTTTTTTATTTCAAAGTTCTTTAAACACAATCACGCCGGGTGGCGATAAATGTAACGTGTATAGGTTATCGGGTGTTGGTACGTACCGACCTCGTTAAAGGACGAAATTAGTAATTATCATTTTGGATTTTCGAAATTGTAAACAGACCCGGAACGGTATTGTATTTTCAGGAATGTCACGTGTTCTCACCAATCGCAGATTATTGTTTCGTACAATAACCCCTTGTCTCTTAACGACAGATTAATTAAATATCGAACGACGAAAAATTAAAAAGTTCGGTGTGGACGACTACGGACTGCGCGCGCGCGCGTGTGTATCCATTTAAGCCCCGAGACGGGTCTCCGTTTCTCCGCCGATGGCGCACGCGAACGAACGTACGCTTGACATTCGGTTCCGTGCCTATTAATGGGATGCGCGCGATTAATTAATGAACGTCCGCGTGAACGGGACGTGTTGGTTCGAGTCCGCGGTTCGCCCCCTTTCGTCAGTGCCTATAGGTTCCGCACAGCTATTGTGATGACTTGCTCGAACGCGGATTCAGACCATCGGCGGGAGTGGGGGGGGGCGGTTGAGGGGGAGAAGACGGGGGCCGACGCACGGTTTTGCAGGCCCCCCGCCAATGAAAATAACTTTTTAAAATGGTAACACGAATCCGAACGTTTTTAATTGAGTATAATAAAAATATTGAAAACACGTTATTCATCATTACAATACGTATATATCTACGAATAAAATTAAATACGTGTTTTATGTAAAACATAACATTTTTCTCGCGTCCAAGGTTTTATCATTAGGTATCGGAGTTCCGAGTATCTACGATGGTCACACACTCTAAATAAACATGTTTTCCCAATAATTCTATTTTCAAATACACCGATAACAAAATATATCCGTATTCCTTACACGCACAAACCCAGCCGTATGCCTCCATTTACCGTGCGCGTGGTGGTAAACACGATAGGCGGGTTGTCGGGGCCAGGACTAATAGTACAAACAAGAAAAAAAAAATACAAATACAAATATTCTTGTGCACTGTACAAAGTACAAATCACCGCTCAATGTGTTTTTAAACCGAGAAGATTATGGGCCCTTTACACGCGTGGACCCCGGAGACGTGTCTTCCCCCCCTTATTTCGGGCCTGATACTTGCTGTACCAACAAATCTATGCAATCTTTTTTTAAATTTTAATTCGAATTATGTACACGAAAAGTGGAAAATTCATTTAAAATGGAAACCGCACATCGAAACCGTAGTAATGCCCTTTTCATACAATGGTTAATGAACTTCAAAATATCTTAGACATTCAATCTCTAAAAATGATTAATTTTGCTTTAACTCAATCCATAGTATTATGTCGTATGATTTGATTTTTTTTTTTTGATTTTTCACAAATGCCCACAATGGATGAATACATTAACGCTGTACCCTGTATAGGTTTTAAATAAATTAGTAGTTATGACTTTTTTAATGAAATTGTGTTTGTTTTATAGGTGCGAAAATTAATATATTAAAAAACGAATGCATGGTGGCCGTTATATTTCCAGAAGAAGAAACGGAAGAACTATCCAAAATTAATATCAACAGTAATAAATTAGTAATTTAAGACATCAAATATTTACACATAAATATACAGTAGAACCTCAATTATTTAGATGAATAACTTGACTGTACCATGCAATTTAGAAGACTACCCTTATGGCTTAAATTATATATAACTATATTATAAGTGCATATTTTTTTAGAAACTACCACGATCAAAGTATTGTGGAGAGAAGACAAACAATTTATAATAGCGGTAAAAAGTGTAAAAATAATGTGCGGAACATAATAATAATACTTAATTTTTTATCATATATCTCCACAGATATAGCATACTCAGTATCACTAATTTTAGATTCTGAGTAGAGCGAGGGGTTATGTATTGGTTTGATAGTAATGGTTTTTTTTTTTTATCTTTATCTGGGAACAGCTTTTCTTCTTGCAATTTTACTCTGATTTACAATGATAGCAATTTTTTTTTAAAAAAAATCTTACTGGAGTGGTATTTTAGAGATGTCATTTTTTGAATTTCCCAAGAATTTTCCTAATAAATGAGAAAAACCGGGAAAAATTATGAGAAGAAACGTAGAAAACGGGAAAATAAGCAAAATATTAAACAAATATTATTAAAGTAAATATGTTATAATTAGACCCCGGATTTATATGTAAATGCATATTTTTCTATAGTTCACTTAGAATAATTTTGATTATAAATGTCGGCGTTCGTAATGTGTAGATTTTATAGTTAATTTTTTTTTTCGCAATTTCAATGAAAATGCATATTAATTGCATATTTCTGGATAGTTGCATAAATGTTGCACATGTCTACAATTATAATAATAATTTATCATTATAATTCTGTTTTTATTTATCAATTATGTCAGTACAAATACCTGATGTTGATCGTAAATAACTCATTATAATGTACATCGATAACATATTGACGAATGACAAAAAATACGGGATTTTCTTGTGATAACTTTACATTAGATAAACTAGATAGATTTAAACTTACAAATATTTTGTTAAAAAATCGATAGTAAAATCAACGGCGAGATAACGGAATATGTTGTAGATTTATCTAGTCTTAAATATGCACCAATTGCAAATAAAAATAATTTAAAATAATAATTATATATATATATATATATATATATATATATATATATAATAATACTTAATATAATACTTTAATTAATTTATCACACTTTCATACTTACACAGTGTCATTAAAACATATTTTGTTTAATAATCTTTTTTACACATATATTTAGATTATGTTATATTTTTGTAAAAAAAAAAAAAAAAAATTTCATTTTGCATATTTATGATATAAATCTGCGTATTTTATTGATTTCTATTTGCAAATAAATCCGGGTCTTAGTAATTATTTTACCATAATATGGCATTGTATATTGTATATATATATATTGTCGACAAAGTAATACTATTAACCGAACTCCGCTTAGAATCGTTTTTTATGGTTTACAGATTTACATTAAGTTTCCCCTCTAAAATCCCAATTTTACACCTACAACAATGGGCCACCCAAGTGCAAATTAAGTCCGTTTTTTTTTTTTCTGTTAATAATATATTGTACGAATCGTACAATATATTATTTGCACAAATTGCAATGCAATTCAAATTAATTTTTAGAAGATTTATTATTCGACAAGGTCCAGACTTTTATTAAGGTTATTATCAAGTTGTTATAATGTTATTGAATTTCATTTCAATTTAATCGTTACTTAAAATGTTTGTGACGCCGCTGTTTGTAGATGTCCTGGTGATATTATTTAGTGTTATTGTATTCAAAAAATAATCCGAAAACTACCCTGACAATACTACAGGGTGGATATAAAAGAAACTAAATTTTTGAAGAAAACGTTTGGCAACTGCGCGTCGCCAGCAGTCACTATTGAACCTTTAATGGACGACGGTCGGAGCCCGGTGAATACCTATTATTCTCTCGGTGTTTGTGTGCAAGACCCAGCGTGCGGTATTTGGGTGCGTGTATACCGTTAGGTCCGTCCCGCGATTAATATCGCATGGTGGACGACCCGAATGGCGCCGATTATAATATTATGTATTGATGTTTGGTCGTTTTAACGGACGCGATAAACGAATCGCGTACTACACGGATTTTTTTTTTTTCTTCTGTTTTGTCGACTACGGAATGTTCTTTCCGAAAACCGTATTATCGTATTAAAATTTACACCGAGAGAATAACAGGTATTCACCGGTACCGGTCTCCGACTGTCGTCCATCAAAGGTTCAATAGTGACCGCTTGCGACGCGCAGTCGCCAAACGTTTTCTTTACAAATGTAATTTCTTTTGTATCCACCCTGTCGTATAGTCAGGGTCGTTTTCGAATCATTATTTGAACACAATATTTCCAGGATATATACAACCAGCGGCATCGCGAACATTTTAGATAACGTTTACACTGAAATGGAATTCAACAACAACATTATACTTAATAATAACCTTTATAAAACTCTTGGAATTAAATTAATAATTAATCAAAGTCTGGAGCTTGCGTTAAAATCAGTCAAGCTGTTCGCACGTGATGCGATGACCAAGGGAAATATGGATTAATTTTTATATATTGTATAGATACAGATATAGGTATACATTGTAAAACAATGGTAATAAAATTAAGTTTAATTCAATTTTAAAGCCTTGATACCTATTTCCAATTATGGCCAAATATTTAAGTAAATTGTCTGAGGTTTTATCGTTTCCATACTCCTTGATAGGTAAAATAATATAAATCCAATAAAAAAGTTTGCTAGATACCATATATATAGTATATATTATTTGACGACGATAGGTGCACTTATTTATGGTGTACAATGGCATTATGTATTTATTTATAGTGTTTATTTATAATATGTATTAACCTCCAATACATACATATTATATAGGTGTAAATAATAATGTTGATGTTTAATGTATTTAAAAACCGACAAAAACAATCTATACCAGTCACTTACCTCTTATCTCTTCAAATAATTAATCAAAGGTTGCAATATTTTCATTTAATTTTATATACCGTACATTCAAACATATTCTTTCAATCAAATAATTTTTAATTATTTATATTCACTTTAAGCTTTAGTAAAATAGTCCCATTAATACCAACTTTTATTGTAATATATAGTAGGTGTACAAATAAAGTACGATTTTCGTAAATCATTAATAAACACATTTGTATGTAAAATGTTAAAACAAATATGAAATGTAAGTGGTATGGTCAAAAAGACCTTGTGCAACATGTGTTACGAGTAACCATGCGACTCATGACTCACGTTTCATCCGCTGTAAACGTAATAGCTCGGGTTGCCGCCGAAAATGTATGACGAGAATTATCGAACATATATTGTAGACATTCATTTTATAACCGGTTTTTTTTTTTGTGTGTGTACCACGGGCCGTCGGACCGTGCACGAAAAAGCGACCGACGATATTACCCAGCGCTGGTCGCTCCGGCCCGTATTCAATTTTTAGCTTATTCTTATCACATTGGAATTGTCCAATTACCGTAACATTTTTCAAATATTATCATTTACTTATACAATTTTGAATTATTTGAATTATTTTAAAAGAAATAGAAACTTTAATGATTACTATTTATCATATGAAAATTTCATTTTATTTTAAAATTTAAGCAGGGAGTGCGATTGCACCATCGCACCGTAGCTCGAGCCGCCATTGATAGTACATCAAGGTGGATTAATTCACCTTACCTGATATAATCACCGCAGACGCTTTGACTGGTATTGCACCTTTCATATATGTCTTACAAAAATAATTTTAACATTAACATCATGATATATTTTATTACTAGTTTGAGTACATGAACATATTTTGTATGTATTTTGGATTAAGTATATAATTATACTGAAATAAAGTTTAAAAAAACGATGATATTGACATTTTTGATTTCCAATAATATAATAAATGTTATTACATTTTTGGCCAGGAAAAAATATCATATGATTATTACGCCACGTTAAATTTTAGACAATAATATCGTAATTTAATAATTAATAGTGTTACTACTGTGTTAAGGCCACCATATACATATTCACTTAGCTTGTGTTTTACATACGACCACAGACACAGATTATGAGCGCTACAGCGGTGTCTATTGCGGCGCCTAAAATAAACGCTGCTGAGTGGCTACGTGTGTTGGGACCCTTAGTCTAACTTCAAATATAATAGTTTCGTAGAAATGTTATTGGCCTGTATTACTAACTGGCCCACTGACCACCATTCTCTTCTACTTAAATATTTATAATTTGATTTGAATTGTTCTTATTCATTCAATAAAGAAATATTAATTGTTGCAATGTGCAAAAGTTATATAAGTACACAGACATAAAAAGTAGAAAATAAAATTATATTATAATGATGTTTTGTATTATAGGTATCAAAATCGAAAATCACTAAAATTGATAATGTCCACCATGATGAAGGGTGTTTCAGGTGAGTAACACATAAAATAACATAGATAAATGCCAAAATTGCTTTAACTATTATTTAAATATAATACAGTAAAACTTCTATATAACGGTCACCGAAGGAATCGAAAATAATGACCGTTACACGGAGGTGACTGTTAACGGAAGTTTTACTGTAATATAAATGAAATATATAATACAAAATGTATGTGTATAATATATGAACTTGCGTATTTTTAAATAATTTACTTAAATTGAATATTTTTGTTAAATATTCATTAACTAAAATAAAATAAAAATAAATGTGTATTACTGTTTTACATTATATATTGTTTGTGTCTCTGTTCTGTCCATGTATTCATATTGTTAGTTTTTATCTGGTTAATTTCTTTAGCTCTACATCTTCTATTATTTCATTCATAATTTTATGACAAATTTTTTTTCTAGGTAAAAAATATTATTCAATGGTGCTTGTATAGCATTTGTATAACACATCCATTGTTCTGTGTAAAATTTAATAAGAAAACAATAGATTTCCTTGACTACTAACTCTTCCCTTTATATTAATTTATATTGTTTTTTAAACATGAATATTTCTAGGCGATGAATAGGTTTTGCCATCTACTCTAACAAGTGAAAAGTGCTAGGCTCTCAGAAATGGATACCTTTGGAGATGTTCCTCTTAGAAATATTATAATTAATTCTATAAACTCTATAATCATTTTTAAATAATTTCCCCACGATTTTATTTTCTGCAAAAAACAATATTTTCGGGAACCATGAATTTCAATTTATTATTCACCACATGGTCGGTTTTAAAAGTAGAAAAGATTGATTTATCTATACTTGACTAATTTTTTGGAATTTCTTAAAAGTAAGTTTATCTGGACTAGAAATAATAGAGAGCTTTCTTTCAGAAAAGTCATCTTTTAGGACAATTTCGTACATATAATGATGATAAGATAATTATAAAATTTGTCTATTTAATTTTTATTCTAAAAGAACACATTGTCTATTTAATCGGCTTGTATTAGAAGCAACGGTGTCACCAATGACTTGAATTTTATCTTACAATGATCAATCAATTCATATGTCATCTACTGCAGATGAGATTTTGGTTCTCATAGATGATGTGATGTCACTTTACGAAAGTGTATAACACAGGATAGCGAATATGGCAGTTCATTATTAGTTAACTTATTTATTTGATTTATAAACCTAATTTGATTTTATAAATCAAATTTTAAGCATATAGTTTTTGATTCAACATGAGTTATACCTAATTTTTAAAATTTTTTCTAGTTAATTTAATTTTAAATTCATTTTATATGATAGTATATCATTGTATCTTTAATCCAATTTTTTTTTTTTAATAAAAGTAAAAGAAATAATGTTTTTTATTACATTAAAATAGTTTATATTTTTCATGTGGAATGATGGGTTAAATAGGTTTTGTGTATTAACATTTTTCTCTTATGTTAAATGTGTTCATTTTTAAAATAACTGCAAGCACTTAATGTAATAGTTTCACTCTTCCTTGGCAGAAAAGATTGAGTTTTCAGATCCGGATTTGTGTACAATTATTTTTTTCTTTTCAATACAAAAATTTGTTGATTAGTTTGCAGATTTTTAATTTTTGAAGAAAATGTCAAGCCTATAATATATAGATGTGGATCACCCTAATATATATATATTTTTATTATAAAGTTATATTTACTCACATTAACTATTTCTGTCTCACTAAGAACAACATGGATTTGTTTACTTCAAACAACATACATAATTAAAAGTCCTAATAATAAATATCTCTTATCATTATTTTGTTTATAACCATTTAACCATTTATCTCATTAATTTATAATTAAATTCAAAAAATTATTATTGTTATTCTTGTTATTGGTACTATTATTGTATAATATTCAAACTACTAATAACTAATAACATTTTTGTCTTATATAATTATTGTATACTGAACTATATGTCCGTAAGTAAATAGCAACATATTGTTTCTTAGAATTGAACTAACAGTATTTAGATAACACAATTTAAATATCAAAATAATTTCAAAAGCACCATGTAGTTCTATTTTCTAAAATATCAAAGTTATAGCTAATTATTCACAAAAAAAAAAAAATAATAACACTGCTATATCTGTTTAATTTGTTAACATTTTTGAAAAAATATATATATCATATAGTGCTTACTTATATTAATTTAATATTTTCCATACAATTAACATTTTGTGTTTAATGAGGATAATTTAAAACAACTATACTATGACTATCCTAATATATTATTTATTTTACCAATATGTTTTAAAAAATATATACTGAAAGTAATTAATGATTCACTTCATTTGAATTCATATTTTGATTACTGAAGTAAAGAATAATTAATTGAATTTTCTTTCAGAAAATTTTACTGTATTTAATTTATAGTATTTTTATGGGTCATAAACTCATTTTTACCAACTCGATTTTAGCTAACTTTTTTTATTAATTTTGTTCTTTTAAGATTTACTTAGAAATCTAAACTTGTGTAAATCAAAATATTTTAAATATTCAATATGTGCATACTATTTCTTTTTTTAAAAAATAAAAATGTAAAAAAATAAAAAACATGTTTTAATGTGGATAATTAAATTTTGTTTTACAGTTAAAAAATCTTCAACAAATAACATCAATAAACCCATTTACAAACTGCCATTTAAACACGGTAAGTATATTTGTAAACTATTTTGTTGTTTATATTTTTCATTACTAAATCCAAATTTTCCTGTCCACTTCTGTTATTTATTGTCCGATACTTCATTAAGCCTGATTCTTACATTAACATGTTTAAAAATATAACCAGTAAACTCACAGTAAGTGACAAATTTAACTGCTGGTTGGTACTGAATGGATATTGTAAGAACGAGCCTTAATGATTCCATGTCTCTGCATAATATCTATCCAGCTCATATGGTGTTTTACATTTAAAAATTATTATTTTTTAGGTTGGAAACGCGAAATTGTACAACGGAAAGCAATTGCAAATAAAAATAACAGGAGCGATGTTTATTATTATTCACCCGCCAATAAGAAGTTCAGATCTTTAAAACAAATAAAAGAAGAATTACCTAAAAACAGTGTTTTAAAAATAAAACATTTTTCTATGATACCTCATCCAACAGGTGTTAAAGATAAGAAAAAAGAAATGACTCGCAAAGCGGATAAAAAACCATCAAATGTAATATGACATTTTTGAAAAAATTTATTATTGAATATTGTTTAATTTTGATTTATACGTTCTCGTATTATAATATGATTTTAGTATGCCAGTTTCCGCAATGCAATATTCAAAAGTAAGCGGGTTACTGCAAAAGTGGGTGCAGCCACTTCTAGAGGTGAGAAATTGGAAAGGTAGTAGAGAGCAAATTTATTGCAACAATTAACTATTGCTAGTGAAAAAACAATTTTGAATGGATGAGTTTGGTTGATAGTGTTGCTCTGTCAACAATATATATGCCATATTATGGTAAAATTATTACCTAGGCATTATATATTCTCTTTAATAATATACATATTGTACCTTTTTTTCCCGTTTTTCATATTTATTAAGAAACTTTTGGGGAAAATCAAAAGAATTACCTTCTTAAAGTACCTTACCAGTAAAATTAATTTTTAGAAAAATTGCTATCATATTAAATCAGGTCAAAATTGCTGGTAGAAATATTGTTCACAAGAAAAAAAAAAATCAGTAATATTTTTATTAATCAATACATACATTTCGTTTATTTTCCCATTTTCCCTCCCTTTTTTTCTGATTTTTCCAATTTATTGTGAAAACTCCTGGGAAAATCAAAAAATGAATACCTTAAATTCATCTAAATGAAAAATTAATAAATTGAGAAAAAACCTAACAAACAATTACAGAAATTATTCTTAACTTTAAGTTTGATAATAGCCAATTCACTCTAATATTACAAAACAACATAGATTCTACCAAATGAAAAGAAAAATAATGCTATTATCAACATTAGCATTACAATATTATGTATTTAATTGTGATAAAGCCTATTGTACATCTATTATTATGTGGTTATTTTTGCAATAATCACTCGTATATAAACATTTGTTTTTTTTTAATGGTTTTAACATTGAACTTGCTGACAGTTTTCTATTCCTATATTTACTATTTTTGTTGTTCATAAAGGGCGGATTACATTTCTTTATTTCCTGATGTATGCACTTTTGATCTTTTGAACATAACTTGGCACATTTCTATATACAACTGCATCTCTATTAGAATATGAATATTGGATCTCTTGAACAATTGTACAATTTTATTTACATAAAATGCTTTTATTAATAATATAACATCTATGCATTTTATTAATTATTTGCACTATTACAAAAATGTTCTGCAAAAATGTTTTTTTAAAATTGAAAAATTAAATTAAATTTATTTTATTTTGTTTTAGATAATTTGACACCTTTAAAGACAACTACACCTACATCAGAATATATGCCTAAAAAAAGGACAGCAACTAAACTGACAGTTTCTCAACCAAAACGAAAAACCAAAATGAAAAATTCTACAAATGTTAAACAAAGGTACCATATACATTTTATTTAATATCTTTGTTGTTTGAAACATTTTTTGTTTAGTAGTTTTTAAATTAGGTTCACAATTTTAATGTTAAATTATGGTGTTTTTATCCCAATGGGTCAAGATTTTCAATTCTAAGTTATGTTTTCTACGCAGTCTCTGGAGTACCTAAAGTCATCTTTTACCTTTACTTCTTTCTCTATTTATAAATAGTGCTCACAATTTTTTTCAAAGCTCTAACATTTTATGCTTTGGCAATGATATGAAACTTTATTTCAAAATTAAGTCAATTGACTACTATTTACTGCTGTTTTCTCTTCATACTACCAACTATCTTAGTAATGAGCTTATTAGTCCTATTATGAAGCTTGCCAATGAAGAACCCTCATTTAATTAAATTAAATTTGTATTTGAATTGATTTGATTTTATGTATATAGCTTATTCAATTTGTCGTAATATTTATTTGCATTCTTATTATATTGTACTCATTCAAACACATTTTATTTTATTAACATACTTTATTCACACACTAATTTTCTGCTATACCATTGTTGGGTGCAAACCTTTATACAGATTATAAATAAATAAATAAATAGTGCAGTTTAATCTAAACTAATAGCTGTACTTGTTGTAAAATATGGTGACATTTCTGTCTCCAGGTTACATTCCAAGGTTACTGGCTCTCCACTCGAGGCTGAATTGTTTAAAGGCATGAATGTGTCTGTTATCCAAACCAGACAGTTAAATAACTACTCAATCAATATTAGTGGTCCTGTTGAGATGAAGAAGAAAGTTATACAAATTTTAAAAAAAAAAAACTTGGCTTAAAGGGAATACATCAAAAGTTAATCCTAGTTTACCCAGGCAAAAATCCTGAAAGAATTACCTATTCCTCAGCTTCAAAACACTAGGTTCTATATGCAATGTTTAATTAACACTTGGTAATATTGTAAATAGTAAGTTATATAAATGGTCTGTATAAATCTAGTGTTAAGATATATACGTGTTCTCGCAAAAAACTAGTTCATTTTGGTTCATATCAAAACTGTCTTGGTCTTACCAAACATACTGCTATGAAACACAATGTAGTAGATTTTAATTTTTTTTTCATTAGCTTATGTGAAACATGGCTTATAGATTATATTTCTTCTAATGAATTAGGTTTATTTAATTATAAGGATTTTAGATGTGAGAGGTCCAGTGTAAATAGTGATAATATAAGGGGGGGGCGTCCTCATTGCTGTTTATAATGATGTCTCATCGCAATCTTAAAATATTAAAATTTGTGTGACTTTAAACAACTTTTTGTTAAGATTGATTATAATTCACTAACTTTTACCTTATGCACAGTTTGGTTTCTTCAGAAATCTTCCGTTTATTCCTATATTTTTTTTTACTATGAATCTAGAAAATTTTGCAATAACCTACCCTGACTGTACGTTTACTGTCTCTGTTGATTTTAATCTAAATAATTCTGAATAGAATCATTGCATCTTTGATTTTAATAGAGTTGGTTACCTAAAATATGAATAATTACTAATATCATACAATAGGTATGATACTAAAATCTCATTAAATGTGAATGATGTCACTAATGCTTTATATTTGGTCTTCACTTTCGTGTTTATAATTCTGTGCCACGGGTTGATTTCAAGAATTCTTAAGTTTCCCCTATAGTTTTCTAGTTACCTTAAGTTTTTAACCGTTCAAAAAAGGAATGTGCGAGCCACTGTAAAGCTTTGTTGGTTTCTTTCAAAATATACAGTGGACGTCGCTTATAAGACTCACTTTGGAACCAACACAAAGTGAGTCTTATAACCGAATGAATCATATAGGCGAAGTTGGAAAAAAACAAAATATCTACATATTTATGCATTTTTTTATGACATATTTTGTTTCGTTTTAATCTACTTAATTACATACATATTATATATTATTTATTATTTATTAGTGACTAAACGAAAAAAATATGATTAAAATATTACATACATATTAATAATAAATTATAAATGATGTATTTACGTACTTATTATTTAAGGAAAAAAATTTGTAATTTTGATTTATTTTGTTTGTTCTAATATTCCAGAAATATACTGTTCATACTCATATTGTATATTAAAATTATTACCTCTGTGATGAACAGTTTTCCTTAACACTTCTAGAGCCTCTAGAACCTCCTTGATCACAAGGCTAAATAAGTGATGTGGTATTAGCCGGTAAAAAAACCAATTTTATATTCTTCACATTTAAACTTATATTATGTAGTTGTCTACCGAAAGTAAAATTTTTGTGCTTAGTTCGTTATTTGACTTGATCAACCATTGGCTAAAAATGTCTTGGGTCATCCATGCATTTTGATTTGCTAAATAATCCACAGGTAAAGTTTTAACTCTTTAGAAACAACAAGGCTACTTACCCTTTCCAACAACGAGCAGTTTCTTTTTTTCTCCCATCATACTGGCACAACACATTAGTGTCATCCTTTCTTTACAAGTTTTTGTTCCTTTTGCTTTGTCATTTTTCAGAACATACGTATGTTCTGGTAGCACTCTTAAGTATAAACCAGTTTCATTAATCGAAAGTTAACCTATCTAAGGGTCTGTTTGAGAGGGGTATTGGCTATAGTTGGCCGATTTTCCATTTAATTTTTTATTTATTTGGCAATTGTTGCATGATTTGATATATTGAGCTGTGTCTTTAATCAATGTGGGCCAATAGTATTTATTTCGTATTTTGTGAATGGTGCGTGATAATCCAGTATGACCTCCATTGGGAGATTTATGATATGATTTTAATATTTTGTTTATGAGCGATTGCGGAATTACTAGTGGATGATTGATATTGTTTGGGGATTTAAATTGTTTGAAATGTAATGTGCCATTTATGATTATGAATTTTCTCGATTTTCTATGAATGTTTATTGGGATTTGTTCAATTTGAATGTTAACGATTGCTTTTATAATTTGAGAACAGAATTGTTCGTTATCTTGTTAATTTTTTATATCCGTTAAGTCAATGGTCAAATTATCATTGTCATTTTTAATATAAATTTTATTGATGGGATTTCTAAAAAGAGCGTCAGCAACTCTATTTTCTTTTCCTTTTTTATAAATATCAAAATTGAAATCTAATAGCTTAAGAGTTAGTCGAGCTATTCTGACCGATGGTATTTTTAAATTCGCATAGTATTGTAGACTGATGTTATCATAAAAAGACAGTAAAGTGCCTTCTTCATAAATATTCTCGAAAATACGTAATGCCAAAACATAGTCCTAATAGTTCTAATGTTGTGGATGAGTATGTTGTTTAATAACTTCCTAGAAGCATACCTAATTGGATGTAGTATGTTTTTGTCATTGCATTGTTTAAGGCAAGTGCCTACACCTAATAATGAAGCGTCTATAGTTAGGTAAACTTCCCTTTCGTCATTGAAATGGTTTAGTACTGGTTTAGAAATTAAAATGTGTTTTAACTGATTAAAGGATTGTTCATGTTCATCGTTCCACACCAAACCGCTATTCTACCTTATCCATCAAAGAATCTAACGTTGATGACGTATTCACTGACCCGAACCAGGAGCAACTAGATACCACCCATAATACACCAAAGAGTATTCTACCCCCACCCATATTTGTTAAAGGTGTCATAGACTACATAGGACTACGGAACAGTATTATCGAAATCATCGGACTAGACTCTTTCTCTAGCAAATCCACTTCGCCTCATCTCAAAATTCAAACCGACACTCCAGACAACTACAGGAACCTAATCAGCTTTCTAAAAAACATTGAAGCCCAGTTTCATACCTATCAACCACAATCTTATAAAGCTCTAAGAATTGTTATCAGGAACTTACATCCATCTACCCTAACAGCTAACATTGCCTCAGCACTTAAATACATAGGCTACACTATAAAAAACGTCACCAATGTTATACACCAACAAACAAAAATGTATCTACCTCTCTTTGTCAACATCGACCTTAATGGAAATAACAGCAACATCTTTGATATCTCCTCCCTCTTACACACCAAAGTCAAAATTGAAGAAACCCCTAAAAAAAGACTAATCCCACAGTGTCAAAACTGCCAAAACTATGGCCATACACGCACATACTGTGTACATCGACCCATGTGTGTAAAATGTGGGAGCAACCACTCCTCTTCTACCTGCACATCATCTGACCTACCAGCTAAATGTGCCCTCAATGGACCTCACCCAGCCAACTATAAAGGTTGCACTATCTACAAACAATTAAGCCGAAAACACAACTTCTCAAGCAATAAAATTCAGCAGCTTCCGCCACCAAATCCAAGTCACAACCCCAAACACCGCCATCAACAACTTGCAACGGAAAACTCCAATAATCCACATTCGTATGCCAATGTAACTGAGAATCTCCCTCCTCCTAACCCAAATCCCTCTTCGACAACCAATAACGAAATATGACTAATTAAATTCTTTGATGACTTGAAATCAATCATAAACCCGCTCATTTCCTTACTCACCACAGGCCTCTCAACTCTCGTTAAAACTAAAAATGTCAACTAACCCTTCTACTTCAAAATTCCTCCTCATCCTTACATGGAACTCAAACGGACTAACCAAACACAAAAATGAATTACTAGCTACACTACAAAATAATAGAATCGACATCGCACTTATTTCAGAAACCCACTTCACCAATTCTTCACGTTTTAATCTTCCTGGCTTTCAAATCTTCAGAACAAATCACCCAGATGACATAGCCCACGCTGGAGCTGCAATTATAATTATATCCTCCCTATTATTCTACCCTCTACCACCATATAAAACAGATCATATCCAAGCTGCAGGCATATCTTTAACATTAAACAACATACCTATAAACATCTATGCAGTATACTGTCCTCCACGCCATACCATAACCCTAAACCAATTTAATAACTTCTTTCTCTCACTAGGGCAGAAATTTATCATTGGTGGTGAGTTAAATGCAAAAAACACACACTTGGGCTGCCGAGTGAACAACCCACGTGGGAATGTCATTAAACAACTATCACAATACAAAAATTGTAAAAAACATGCACCAACATCTCCAACCTATTGGTCCACCTCCTCCAGGAAAAGACCAGACATTCTTGACTTAATCATTTCTAAAATCCCAAACAGCTTACACGCCTTTGGCTACTAACCTAAACGACCTCTGCTCTGTTATAAGTATATGTAAATGTATATCACAAATGTATTTTTTGAAATACTTGTATGCTATTACAATAGAATTAAGAGTCAAACTACTCTACGAATACGGCGTAACCATCCAGGACGGTTGCGACGGATATACTGCCTGGGATCTAATAATATTATCTATACATTTTATAGTTCAATAGTTATCTGAGATTACTTATCTTAATCACTTTATTCCTATTAACTTTCGATTTATTAATATATAAATATATAGCGAATGCATAACGATAATGATTGAACGCATTTATTTTTTTATATCACAATTTATGGAAAAACCGCGGCACACTTAGTGGATACTTGGTTTGAAAACCACTGTACTAACCACTTACAGTACTTTTCACGAAACTTGTGACTCCCGCAGTGACGCTTCTGGTGGCAGATTTTCGTGAGGGTTTCCTAAACGTGTGATTAAAAAAGCGCGGTAATTTAAAAATGACGCGGCAATCAACAATCGAACAGCTGACCCTGTTGGTATGAATTTTACCTTCCACTGCAAAACATTTTATAACCACCATATAGGTACCATAGATACTCAAAAATATATGAAGTTTATGAAATTGCTTTGCAAATGGGGCATTAAGTCATACGGCTACCCCCATTTCATTGTCCGTACAACCCTATAGAATTAATATGGGCCCAAGTTAAAGGTGAAATTGCAAATAAAAATAACAGTTTTAAAATCACAGATGTTGAAAACTTGGCAAATATTGCCATAGAATCCGTTACTGTACACAACTGGAAACGTAATGTTGATCATTGCGAACGTCTTCAAGATGAAGACTTTATTAAAGAAGGATTCAGGGACCAGATTTTAGAGCCAATAGTCTTGATATTATGATATAACTAGTTGACCGATATTAAAATTATGATATATATCATTACAATATTATGCAGAGGCATGGAATCATTAAGGCCCGTATTTACAATATCTGTTCAGTACTAACCAGCAGTAAATTTGTCACTCACCGTGAGTTCGCTGTTAATATGTTAAACAACACGTTATCATAGGATTGAGGCTTAATGAAGGATCAAGCATAAAATAAATGAAGTGGTCAGGACAATTTGGATGATGATTTGTATAATTTTTTTTCTATCGTTGTTTATACATCGAATTTTAGAAAAAAAAGTCAATTTTGTAGGTGTTTACATTCACCCGAATATATCTATATTCTATAATACATGAAGACGTTGTATTGAACACAAGTATGTAAACAAAATACTATACCTGTACAACAGTCATCCATACACATAAAATCCAAATACCACTGACTGACTGATCGCTGTATCTCAAAAACTACGTAACGTACGGACTTGAAATTTGGAATACAGGTTCTTCTCATATTTTCACCGTGCACTAAGGTGGGATTTTCAAAAATGTCGCGTTTTAGTGGAGTAATTAACAATTATAATTATTCACCGCCAATACGTATTGTGCGGCACGGCGGCCCGCGGGTCTCCAGCTACCTGCGACTTATCCTTTTTGTCCGTCGTCGTGTAGATAAGAATTATTGTTCCGAGAAGTTTATCGATAAAAATAATCTCATGCATCGCGCGTACACCAATACTCCTATTTTATTATAATGAACGATTAAATTAAAATGCACACCGATAACATAAACCAATACTATTTATTAGTCGTCTCTCCATTGCCTCGCCACGAGGGCCTATACACTAAACACGTTCATTTCATTTGCACTCCGTACTACCAGCAGTTCTGTATAGCACTCGACAATATTACCCATATGTGGCTTTACACATGTGGCTACAAATTTAATATTATATAATTTACATTTAAAAAAGACGTTCTTCTTTTCGACAACGCTTCCACAGCGTTTTACACCTAAAAGCAGTTTTTCCGGGCAACGCCGGGCGATTCAGCTAGTTAAATAATAAAATTAAAAATGTTTTTTTCGAAAAACTGTGGGGAATCTAGAAAAATCTTACGAATAAAGTACCACCGCCGGGCGGAAAATCCGTATTATCTTTTGTGGTACTTACATGTAGCTGCCGTGTGAATGTTTCGCAGAGGGTTCTTACTGCCTATCTAATCGAAGAAGTATTTTCCGGGAACAAAAAAATATAATAATAATAGGTAGGTAGGTAGGTATCTGGCATACAGATCTCGGTAAAACTAATAGCTTCCTCCTCTATCCACCGAGATTGTAGAAAAAAAAAATATATATATATACGAAACGTTACTGTGTTAGCTGTTTGTTTCGACCGCGAACAACAACCGACGAAAACGCAATCTATTTCGTTCCCGAAGACGTGACACGAACAATTTATCACGCCCGTTCGGTGCGCCGCCGACGACACGTGGTCTCGTAAAACGATAATGAGCATAATATAATAGTACGTCTGTCCGATAATAATCGAGACGATTTTCGGCCTCGACATCTTTACCAGTTTTTTTTTCTTCCATCTTAGATACGTGCGGGAGAAATTCCCTCGTCTGCACGGTGGCGTTCGTCGTCGGGAACCGCGAAAATTAAGTTACGCACCAAAAAAAAATAAAAATAAAATAAAACTACATAAACACCTTCTATTGTGTACACTGCATGTCGGATGGTAATTCGTTATTGTTATCGTTGCTGCTGTAAACGTTACCAATAAGGTACCTCTACGTACTTACATGTCGACGAGACGCGAAGCTCCGTGTGAAATATTATTCTACGGTGCGAAATTTTGACCGTAATAGGCGAACTATGAATTAATAATCGTTTTTCAATGGCTGTAAAACGGGTCCTGTGCGTTTAAAAATGCGGATCGACAATAATATTGGTATTATGACGCGTGTAACTGAAGATAAGATAATGGAGTAATGTCTTAGTCCGTTTTGATAAATTCTCGGCAAATGACAAAAAATGCCAAAATGTAGAAATGATGTGGTACTAGAGAAGACTTCTGAGAATTCCGCGATAAAAAGAAAATCAGGAATGAGTAGGTTCTTCGTAGGTATATCAATAGACACGCAGAAGTCAATGTGGGACTAGCTTAAGGTAAGACGTAAGAATAAGTGACTAGGATATTTGTGTTAACGCTTGCGAGTGACGACTAATCGTATAATCGAACTTCGAAAATTTTGTATGTGATGTAACGAATGATGATAATAATAGTAATGTAATTATAATTAAAGAGTTTTTAAATCTTGTAACTACGAGTTGACTTTTTTTCATTTTTGTTGTTTACTGTATAAACAAATGCGTCGCCTAGAGTATTATGAAATGTGATTGTACGACCGGTTTCGATTTAAAAATTCATTTTCGGGTATAATCATAAAGTCGAAAAGTAAAACGCGACTGAATATGAAAAAATTAATGAAGGAATACATAGCGAAAAAATTATAAAATTGGTCGTTTTACATAGGAATAATTAACCTAGACGTGGTAAAATTTCCAAAATCATCGGACGATCTTTTTTTTTTTTTTAATAAGCGTTTTGAAATCAAATTTAAACGCGTATCTTATGTATCTTACCTTCCCGACTTCTCACCTATAACAGTGGTCGCTCCCATCCTCAGTAGCAGCTCTTTTTTTTTTGTGAAAAAAATATAAATTACGTAATGACTCATATGATTTATACTCTGTTCGCCCGCGCATATTGCAATGGGGAGAGGAAAAAAAACATTTTGTCTATTTTAATGACGATTTATACACACACGGTACACGCTCACACACATCCTGAGGCCATACATAACACTACCGACTCAACATGTGAATGGAATTGCGTACGTTACGTTCCTTAATACATTGCACTCTTATTAAAGTACTTATAGTTCATAGTCTTCTTCTTCTGCGGGCCTTTGGCTTCTAACACAATTCTTCTCCACTCATCGCGGTCTTTGGTAACATTCCTCCCTATCTGTTGGATATATATATTATGTATTATCATTAGTAATCACAAGGCATTGCCATTATGTGATACACATAATTGTTATCAATAAAGCTCAGTAGTTAATCTGCAACGGTCGTGTTCACCAGTGGTTCTCAACCTTTTTTGTGTGACGACACCCTAATTTAGATCCGTAAAAATGACGACAAACGTAAAACAATTAATAAAATTAAAATGGAACGTTAACAACATTTGACACACATAACGCTCACACGTCGCAACACGACGATTACGACTGACGACATGCTTATTTACGTACCTATACGTAATGCCAATTTCCTGGTTTGTCTTATCTGCGGATTTAACCATAACATAATAATATTGTCATGTATTTCTGCTTTGAAAACGTACAGTATAAACAATTATGAATAAACGATTTTTCTGGCGACACACATCGCAATAATACGCGACACACAAGTGTCAGTTTCTAAGTACAGACTCCGTGTTTATAACTATCCATAAATCGAATTGTTTGACTCGTTTCTTTAGGTAATTTACCAATAATTCTGTAATAATGATTAAAAACTGGTGAAAAAACGTGCGATAAAATTGCACGTCGTATCACCGCTATCAGAACATTGATGATGTAAAACTAAAAAAAAAAAAATGCATTTCCGTATTTTCAGCGTCTACAAAACCGAATAAGTCAAACGAGAAAAAAGCGGTTAGGCATTAAGGAAAATGTTAGGTTACCATAAACGCAATAGCGCAATGGTGTCTCAAAATTATAATACACTAGTGCAATGCAATTGATTTAAATAGTTATACTCTAGTCTACTACGAATAAAGTGTGTTTACACAAAACACAGTAAGGTAATTATTAGTGTTAATTCAAATTCAAAATGGTACGTAAATTTTTTTATAAACGCGTAAAATCTTGAAAATCGTTTTCCCGAAAACACGGGTTTTCGAGTCTCAATTATAACGTTCCGAAATGTATATTATTATGATAATACTAATTGTTGTAACATTCGTAGATAGGTATATATAATACCTAGGTAGCAAACTCGTGTCTATTATTGAAGTCGGGCGCCATTTACGGAACGAGCAAAAGTGAATTATTATGATATTTAAGTATTTTAACTGTTGTTATTTTCTAATTGTTACATTGTGTCCATTTATGAGATAATAAACACAGAATCGATATAAAAAAACCGATAATACTTATATCGATGTCGATTATATCGTGTTTTACAATCGTTTTCGCCCCAACCGTAAATTGGTTGACGACTTCAAATTGTAATGTCAAACCAGTGTACAGAGTTTACCATCTAGTTGTTTTAGTTATCTATGGTCACATTAAAACGTCGAAACTTCAATTTTGATAAGAACGCGCTAGGTCCCTCCGGGCTCGATTTTTATTATTATGCCGCAATAATATATTGTTATAGCGGTGTATAAGGACAACGGCAGTCGTACCAACGTACACGCCGTTATATATTTTTATTTTCCCGACCAACGATATTATTATTGTTATTATTGTCATACTGTTGACGGCGATTAAACCGCGGACGTGACGTTTATTATAACACATGTATGGGCAACAGAAACGCGATAAGAGCGTTTTCAGACCGAATTTAGGTGTCTATATGTAATTATCGGTGCGTATTGTAACACGTGCATGCGTGTATACGAGAACAAAAAGACGACCGACTACCTACCTATACGGTTACCGTCGGGCCGGGAAAAAAAAAAAATGAAACCAGATTGCACTACAATATACTTATTTATCGTATATTATTATAAACGATTTGTGTACGGAAATATTATTATTATTATTGTTATTATTATTGGGTATTCTGTTTCGATTTCTAATCCTCGTGTTGTATACGGCGCGTGTGCGTGTGCTCGCGCAAACGCGCGTGCGAATTATGCCGGATACGGCGGCCCGGGAAAAAAACCGCCGCTCGCGCATTATACGAGTAGGTTAGGTGCCCGTCGAAAATTACGTTCCATTAAAACGAGTTGAAAACCGCGTACGGCCGTCGCCGCGGCGGCGGTATCCGCGCGACAACAATATATCAATACGACTGCGGCGGCTGCGGGAAATAATGGGTTACTCGTAATAATATTGTCTATTGATAGAGCAGAGAGCAAAAAAAAAAATAAAAAAAGAGAACAATAAATACGTTTTTAAAACGTCTCGTGCGCCGCACATCCGACCGGAACGCGCGGCCGGACGATCGCCCGGACGATTCTGTCGCCGTTCGCCCGCGGGGCGCGATCCGATCACTACCGCGCGTGACCACTCGGTACAATAATATAATAAATTACAATATTTGTATTGAAATAAGTCCGCGTACGCTCCGAATTGTTAAAATGATGCGTTCGGCTCGCTACACCGTTATAGTAGCACCGATAGGTTGTCCCGACGAGACGGTCACGTTCGCGATGGATTTCACAAACCGGAGTATCGGAGCGGCGTTAGCACCCGGTTTTCCCAGATCGAAAAACAAACCGGCACCATTTTTTTAGAGCCTAAATAATTATTTAGCGAAACTCGCGGTCTGAAATACATAACGGCACGACAGATAGACCGCGTACGGGCAGCCATACAACACGGACAAATTCTTAAATTAGCTTACACCGCTTAATAATATAAGCAAACGATTTATCCGTTTTGTTAACTGTAATTTGTAGTTAACAATTTAGGGACACAACCGAGATCCCTGCAGATTAATTAACCGAACAAGAGGAAAACCGCGGTCTAGTGCATTAAAACTGAAATAGGCCCAACGGGTTAGGCTGAGAGCAGGGAGGAATAAAGATAACGAGTATGGAAAGCCATTCCGGGAACGTATATGCGTATAGTGTCCGAGAACTTGTGACGGACCTTATATGTTCTGTAGACCGGAGCTTAGCGTACGATAGTGTAGAGAGATGGAAAATATTAGTTTAAGCAGTTAAACGCTTATAAATAACTTGCAAAGCTGTTAATAACATATGATGAAGAAATCGGTAAACGTCGAAACTGAAAACATGCAAATAAGTGAAGAGGTTAAAAGTTGCCAAGGACTTCGTGAGAAATAAATGCCTCACTGCCTTAGCGAAAAACATTTAAAAAAATATATTATAAACATCACTTACAACGTAAACAAATAAATTATTTATAAAACAATCGAGTACGAATTTGTAAATGATAAGAATCGCTGTACTTGATTCGAAAAATGTATCGACATTTTCAACACGTCATTCACTAGGTTCTTTTTTTGTTTATTTCTCGGCTATCTCGGCAACAAGAAAAACAAACACGCCTAATTCTACTCCGCTAAGAATCATTTTCCGTTTTTAACGATTAATCGTTGCATTTAATTTGAATTGTCCTATACAATCTTACTTACAAAAGTGGCCTACTCATGACGCGAAAACATGTCCCGCTTAAATAATAATGAAAAAAAAAAAAACGGTTTTTCTTAAGTTACTTTGATGTAAAGACAAATATTAATTTGTATACGGTGGAAACGAGTTTATTCGTGTCAAAATAAATAATAAAATAAAAATAATAATAATATAAATAATAATAATCGTGTTAAACCGCGTCTACAGAGGGATCGCGTTGGTCGTGGTGCTCCGGATGGGCTCTTCGTAGACGGGCATGTATGAGCTGTACGCCATGTTGGACGCGGCCACCGGTTCGCCCGGCAGACTCCTGCGGTAGTGACCGCCGCCGCCTCCGTGGCTCACGTACTCGTGGCTGCTGCCACCGTCACCGAACAGCTTCTTGAGGCCCACGATGGCGGACAGGGCCAGTGCCAGTTTGGCGATGATGAGTGCCTTGCCGGCCAACAGGGCCAGCACGCCGAACGCCAGCGGTATGGTCATGCCGCCCATCATGAACGGATACATGAGCAGCGAGTTGTACTTGTTGCCTTTTTTCCGACCTACGAAAAAACCCATATAAAAACAACAAACAATGTTAAAAATAATATTTGCAATTTCGGTAACATTTTTTTTTTCATTTCTGCAGTATCACGGCAGTGTATAGATTGTCGATTCAATTAAAAATAATATTTGTATTTTTTTTGGCACCGAAATAACTCTATGAGTCATTTAAAGTCAATCGTTTGTTAAAACATTTTTTTTTTTTTTTTTTTTTAAATTTTAAAACTCTAAACTGCCCGAGGAAAAATAGAAAAATATTTCTTGCGCGCAAAAACGATTACTTTTGATGTTTGATGAAATGGTTGGAAATTGCATGTGTGGTTGTACTCCAAGGCAAATTCCTCAAATTTAAAATTCATCCTTTGGCAAAAGATTGATAGGAGCAAATCGTTTGCGTGCGAACTAAAAGATGTATAACTGTATAGAAAGTTCCATTCGATGGACATAAAGACATTTATTTTTCGGGAGATCGACATTATGTGTACAGTGGTATAGGATTTTTCTTTTTCCTCTTCGCCTAAGTATTGGCTAATTTTTTTTTGTATCGGTCTTTATGACCATATTTTCTTCATTTACTCCACATAAAGAACTAACATTACCACGAATTACATCTATAGCCATACAGTTTATATTTGGTCAAACTTTTTTCCGAATTCCGTAAAAAAATGATTCATTAATTATCCAATCGACTATCGCATCATTTATCCTTCTTTCGGTGTATCCGTTCACCATTTTGTCGGTCGTTAACCTAACCTAACCGGCGGATATTCGTCCGGTATTTTGTTATCGCATGTCGATAATTACAGTCACAGACACCCGTGTTTATTATATTAATATACTCATAGAGTAATACGATTACAGATAATATTATCGTTTTCTTTTTCCGCGCACGGAGCGTCCCGGAAACAATTAACTAAAGAAAATATTGTTGTCTCCTCGAACGCACGCGGAAGAGAAAGGTTCCCGGACGAATACAATTGGAAATGGTTTATGATGAGAAGATAGTATATAGCGACGCGTATCGGTTAAAACGACAATAAAATTACAATGATATTTATAATGTTAAAAATATTATCGGTGCGTCATCGTGGCACGCGCGCGTGTAGGTGGAGATGACTTTGGGATCATGCGTTGTACGGAAAACGTGTCTTTACAACGACGTCTGCCCAAAAAGATAATTAAATCTCGACGATTATGATTTGTGCCTGATGAGCCGAGTCATGGCCGCTTTTATAGTTACATTTTTCGAAAAATTCCGCGTCCTGTTCTTTTAGAAATGCGGACTTTTCGACCTGCGGTATTGTATTCGTACGTTCGCAAATACTTTTCCAGAGGGTGCAAAATCAAATAACCCGGCCTTGGCCAATTACGCCGTCTTGTCCCTTCCTGGCGCGTCCACGTAGCCAACAATTAAAACGCGTACAGCGGTTTCGTACTGGAAAATGTTTATAGTACATAGAAAAGCGTGACAAGTTGAACATATTAGGCGGACAAACAGGAATCCGAAAACAACTCGAAGCCGAATTTTTAAAATTCAATTTCTATTCATGGGTGGGGTGGGTTTACACTTGAAATGTTTTTGATTTCACGGGAAAACAATCTACTTTAATCTGTTCAACTTGCAATTATAAAACGGAAACCAGTTAGACAAAAGCAAAACATACTGTCCATACTAAGTTGATTATAAATTAAACAAAATATGAACAAAATTGAAACATTTTGTTTGTGTTTTGTTTTTTTTCCTCTTGTCCACACATACCGAAAAAATTTGTTTCGAAATCGTAAAACTAATTTTCAAGGTTCAGATATTTAATCAGTCACTGACGTTTGAGCCGTTCAGACATAAATTAAAATATAATAAAATATGGGCGATTTTCGGTATTACTCTGTATGTATGTGTATAGCTTGCATGTGTCTTTTCTATACTCCATTTTTTTTTTCGTGTTCATTTATATGAAAATTATAAAATTATTGAAACTTGAAAATTATTGGAATGCGCTACTCGACTGCACACGCACTACTATACTAAATATCGTGTTATCCGCACTACTCATGAAATCCCGAAACAATATCTAATTTTTTGGTTATTTTTAAAATACTGCCCACATTCGTTCGACAATGTTTGCCGAAACAAAAACAAAACACAAACCTTCTGATGTTTACCGACGCTACTCGGAGCATGATTTTGTTTCAAATTTTATCGAGTAAAAACACGAGTTTTGTTTTAATTTTGTCGTTTCAGTGTGGACCCGGCATTTTATGTTCTGTTTTTTACAATCATTGTAATTGGGCTTACGCCCTTTTAAATTATAATAAATAAATGAAAACATAAATATACGAGTATTTATGCGTTTGTATAACCGTTTAAATAATATGTAAAAAAAAAAAAAAAAAACTTAAAAAATAAACACAATCATAGGTATCGACTAAGAAAACATCAGCTCAGCTTGCGTTCGGATAATATCGTGTTATCGATGTCACGCGGTAATTGTGCGTATAAATTATTAATCATAATATACGAATCGATGCATAAGCACAACTAGACCACCGACTTTGGGGGTTCTAAAATTATAGACACTACAGACCCGTGGGACATGAAGGCAATGCTCCCGCGATCCCCTTTACACGACACTTACAATAAATAACTACTCAATTCATTTAAAATGTTAACTTTATTTTTTATACACACACGCGTTGTCTGTATTTTGGTCTACTCATTAATTATAATAAGTGCTCGGATAAAATATCTAGTCGATACTATAAAAAAGCTAAATGGATATTTTTTTTTTTTTGGGGGTGGGGAAAGAGGTACTAATTTTAAACTTGGAGATGCTTAAGATCCCCTAGCACCCATATAGTTGTGTCTATGTATATCTGTGTTGTATATTACTAAATATAATAACATTATATGCGTATGTGTCAGCGGCAGCGTATTGATAACGTTAATATTATAACAATAAGATGCCGCCTGTGGATTTTCAGACCGACAAAAATGAACAAGGAGAAAAAAAACACGAATCCACCGCAATAGTCGGCTTACGTAAATCAATCGGACGAAACACGTCCGGCTCAGCCGTTTAGCAAGTAAAACGTGATCAAAAAAACGCCGCCATTATATTTTTAGCGGATTTTTCGGCCAGTCATCTTCGAGATTTCATAAAAAAAAAATATATATATAAATATCTGATGATAATACAGGTATATGTGTACTCATATTAACCGTGTGTGGCGTCGTCATCATATATAATGCTTTTGTATTACGTGGGCACCAATGGAAAAGTATAAAGAAAATAATATGTCTCTATGGAGTTACGATAGACGATAAAATCAATTTAGCGGAAATCATCGCAGATTACCGGTTGTAGCGCGAAATCCGCAGTTCAAGAAGTCTTTGGATCTACTCGGATATCTGTGAACTAATGGGTGGCTATACGCCCATACTCTATAGTACTACCTAGTTCAAAGAATAAAGCAGGTTTATGAGCTGAATCTCCGAGTTCATTCTTATGTATAAATCGCCGCGACAGTATTTTACCGAAATGGCCGAGCCGGCGAAGAAATGACGAAAATGAATGAAAATTGTGTTCACCGTAAAATTGTCCAAAATCAAAAACCTATTATTATAGGTTTTTGATTTTGGCCGAATTTCGGCGCGGACATATTTCATTTTAGACATTTTTCTCCGGAATTTATCCCTCTACGACTATTGACTAATCGGATGTTTACGGGGGTTCGTTGTTTCTGATTTGAGCTTTTTGAACGTTTTAACAATATCGTAGACAAAAAAAAAAAAAAATAAACCAACAAAAAAGAAATAAATTATGAACATTTATGATGTTGTAACGCAAGGTTAAAAATGTTTTTTTCTTTTTCATCCCATTCGCTTTTATCATAAATATCTGTGATCGGCCACCCTCGTTTTAAACTTCCACCTGATCCGATCTCCCACCTCGCACGAACCGGCTGTCCCCACCACGTTCTCAACCGTATCCAGCCACCACTTTTTTGGTCTTTCTCTTTACTTCTTTCCTTCTACTTTTAATTTCACTACAATTCTGAAGATTGGAAAACGATAAAGAAAAATATAGATATTATAGGTTGAAGAATGTGTTTTCTTATTTTCACATAATATCTTCGATTCCCAATCATTTCGCAATCAATAATACGCTTTGTATTCTAAAAAGTTAGTAAAACTGATAATCACAAAAAAAAAAAAAAAGGCAAATGAAACTCAAATGTTTAAATACGTTAATCGTCGAAAATCAACGAAATAATCAAGAACCTTTTTCTCTGTGGTTATTATAAATTATTTCAAATAGCTAATAATATTCTTTTTGGATTCCATTGCCGTGTATCGACATAATTTTTTTATGCCTGAATTGGGCTCCTGCCCGTAATGTATGCATAAAATAAAAAGAATTATTAATTTGAGGGAAATTTAAATTTTTTTTTTTATATTTAGTAATAAAATCGACGGAAAATTTAACTACGAGTAATAATAATTTATTTGTAATATGTTTTTAGTTATAATACAGTTTTTAAAATTATTGCGGAACGGATACTAAAATTGAATACCTTTTAATTTTTTTCATTCACTTTAGGCAATAAAACAACTATAGCATATTTTTGTAATTTATAAGTATATAATACATTTTTTCCGATAATTATTTCTGTTTATTTTTCATATACGTATGATATTATTTATCCGGTATGCGCTTAAAATATGTTATGTTTATCGCATGCAATCGTTGATTTTGTATTCCGGAAGTTCAATTTTTTTTTTTTTTTTTTTTTAACGTTAAAATTCAACAATAAAATATACTAAGATCAATGATTGTGCCATAGTAAACGTAACTTATTTTAATTTATCAGTACATGAAAATAGTATAGCTTATATTATTTCAAATATAGATGTATGTATAGCCGAATATTGAAAAAAAATAACACGATCTCAAATTGTAGCATCCACGGTTTATGGAATGTTTACAAATGTCAAAAAGTGTAAAAGAAATGATTTACATTTCACGAAATGAACAAGTAGGTACGTATCACGTTAGCTGTTTACAGGCTCATGATAAAACTGCCAACATCGTATAGGAAATAAAAAAATAAGGATAACTGGGTGCTTACCGTCGGTCATAAGTCGGGGTTCGTTGTCTAGTAGCTTGAATTGTAGGCTACGGGATTTGAAAAAATCAACGATCCGGTTGACGACCAGCTCGTCCAGACCAGCGGCATTTTCGTCTTCAGGGGCTGTGGCGCTGTTGGAAGCTGTGGAGTCCGAGGACCTGGCCGACCTGGCGTCGTTCTGGGCCTGGTCTTTGACCAGCCGGACGCCATCAAACAATTCCATTTCCGGTTGTTCGCTAATCCGGTCGAGGGCCGTTAGTAACTTATGCTTGATACACGGACCGAACTGTTGAAGAGCAAAAAGCAAAGAGCACGTTACTGTATGATGTATACTGTATACAGGTCAAGTTGGGCTATAGATTTGATTATGTTAGAGTAGGTGTCTGGAAAATCGACAATAAGCAATTGCTCCCTTGTTGTCTATTCAAAACTCAAAAAATAAAAATAAATGTTTGTTAAGTTTATAAATCTAGCCGCTCATATTTTGTTCATAGTTTTTTTTTTTTAAAAAAAATTAACAAAACTTTATTCTTTATCGGTAAGGTTTCAACATTGACTCACAATTCTTGCACAGCTCCGAGCTCATTGTCGGACTTTATGTTGAAAATTTTAACATCACTTTACATAGGTTTATTTACTCCCCAGCTATACCTACAAATAATAACACGAATCGATGGACAAGAACCGTATTTTTTTTCACGACTGTCGAAACTGAACAGGCATTCGTCTGCAGTAAAATGGAAAACTGTAAATGCTACATAATAGGTTCGTGTACGTACGGGCCGAATGAGACGGAAGAGTTCTCAGACTACAGGTCTACTGTACTACAATATGATATAATATGTATATAAAACGTGGTCTGGCGTCATGTTTGTGCGACTTACTTGCGACTTGGTACAGTCCTGGAGCACTTTGAAGGCGACACGAAAGTCGCCGAAACCGGTGTCCGCGATCTTGCGGGCTTCGGGCCGCGATTGGGCCAACGCCGACGAGCACGCGGCGAAAGCGACGACGACAACAACTGCAAACCGCGATGACATTGTGTATATATATATATATATAAACGATAAAAAAAAAAATTGGATACACAATATAACAATGTCGATCGCGGATAATATTGTGTTATGGCACTGTGCGCGACACGTGAGACCGTTTCGGCGGTGAAACCTTGCGACACGGAGCGGGAATACTATACTGTAAGTACGAGTGTTCGACGGATACGCGAAGACGGTCGTATATCGGCGCGAACGACGTATTTTCACGGATTGTCCTGCACCGGAACGTCCGGGCGATCTTTATATACGGCGCCCCACTCTCCCCGCCAGTTTTATTTTTCGTGTTTTTCCCCATACACATCCCTACACGTCGCACACGAGAGCACTCTGGGTATACCTATACGTATACACACGCACGCGTAATAATACCGACATCCGGATGACTTCCCGTCGCACACATCGTCATTATATCACACCGCCACACCGCACGTCGTCACCACCGCCATCGTCATCCCATCCGACGACAAATATAATAATAATAATAATAATAATATTTTTTCGGGCCGCCCATCATACCGCCGCCTATTGTCATCGTCCATATACCTATATATGTTTGACGATGATAAGTGGAGCTTGACCGATGTGCACGCGTGTGGGGATACCCAACAGTGTGTGTGTGTGTGTGTGTGTGTGCGTGTGAGAGTGTGTGCGCTCGCGCGATTGATACCCTCCGGAACCGCCGCCGGCCGTTTACGCACTTAAGTACACTGCACACACAGACACACCGTGCGAACGGTTTTTTGGGCGGTCTGGTATGAAATTTTTCGCGTTTCACTCGATATATAATAATATAATATTATTCCGCCGATTTTCGTTTTTTTTTTTTTTTTTTCCTTCACGTTGAAACATTCCATATGTGGCGTGTGTATGTAACCGTTGTTGTCATTATAATAGTGTAGGTAGGTACGCGCTAGTATAGGAATAGATAGATATATACCGTTTCGTCGATCGTCGTCGTCGTCGTCGTTGTCAAAATCGATTTCCTCGCGCGTGTATAACGAAAACGACGACGACATTTCCGACGCGATTTTGTCTTTCTCTCTGCGGCATGCCGGCCGTAATTGTCGTCGTCGTCCCATACACCGTGTATATTATTATCTATTATTATTACTATTGCAGCGTACTGTGTACCTGAGAACACATACGCCGAACAGTATCGCGCGCGCACTATTATTATTTTCGAAGAATCGACCAGGGGGACGTCTTAAAAGCTTTTAGTCGATCCGCCGATTACCGCGGTGGCGTTTGCGATGGCCGATGACCATCATCGTGGTATTCCGGGAGACTTAAATGCGCGTACCGTCACGGAGAGAAAGTGTCGTCCAGTATAAATAAATCTGAAATTGCGCGCGAATCGCCAGCAAGATTTTTTACCGTTATTATAGGTTTTTTTTTTCATATATATATATACCTAACCCATCTATAGGAACGGTTCGGGATATAATTTCCATTCGGTGAAAACTATGAATTCTAAGAAAATCGCCAGTTATACGCGTTCGGACGGAATTTAATACATGTAAACTGTATTTGATGCATGCGTGAATATATTATTTTATACAATATATTTTTTTGAATTTCCACTTTTTTTTTTTTTTTTTAACTTTATTATTTTCATTTTTAGAACAATAACACACACTATCGTTACGGGCGAGGATTTTCTAAGCTTTGTCTTCGTTTTCCTCATCGCTTTTATTCTAGTACCCTGCAAGTGGTGGTCAGCTATATTCTGTTTTTGACCTCCCCATCACGTTCATAGCCATTTCTTACGCTAATTTAAAATGTTTCCTCGAGATAGAATTCCTCGAACCTCTACCATCATACTCAAGCGATGACTATAAACTATATCGAAAACACCAATTGATCACAAAACACCCTCAAAATGACCGAAAATATAAAAAACAGCGAAATTTTCATTTTTGAAGTACATATTTTACCCGAACCAAACTATGTAATTAAAATGCATTATCCTTAAGGTATTAAAAACAACCATTTGTATTGGAACCCCGGTCCTAGTGGTGACAATCCAGCTCACAGGGGAGGCAACTGCATACATTTAAATGACAAAACGTATTTGTAATACTAAAAATATTATTGAAAAAACTAATTGTCGAACTGAAATAAACGCGTTTTCGTAATTTATAAGAAACGTAAATAGGTACCTTTATTGTTGTCTATCTATTTCTATTATAACAAAAACGAGTGACGCTGTAGCAGGTGTGTGACAATAAAATAATTACACAAAATATAAATTGAAAAAATCCGAAACTGATTGCAATTTATTATATTATTATTATCTTCTTTTACCAATACCAACGATGTGCACGCAAAACAATTATTTGACAGTTTAATTAATTTCTTTTATTGAAAATGGGTCGTACTTCACTTTTTTATTATCATTTGTACAGTTTAAGACTTTAAGTAGTTTGAATACAATTTTCGTTCAACAAAATTTTAAATTAAATATAAAAGTGAAATCGTAAGTTATTAAGGTATATATGAGGTCCGTTAAAATATCGAACTTTTGAAATTGCGCGCGAACCGTTGCATTGATCGAAATTCCGTAAAAACAGCATTCAGCTATAATCTTTGGCAATAAGACATTATTCGTCACATCTGCTCTTATCAGTTACAAACTAGAGCAAGCCGACTAAACACGTATAGTGTTAGAGCAGTGACGCATCATTCGAGAGTCATTCCGTTCGTTTTCAAAGTAAATATAAATCTAGAAAACTGGAACTATATTTTCCCCCAGTAAACCAAATAAGACAAAGGGTGGTTGGGAAGGACGAATCTTCTGTTATCAACTAAAAAAAGTCTGATGAGTAGAAATAAAAGACCTTTCATACAATTCAGATCCTTTCCACGGAAATTTCCCCCTTAAACATCTTAAAACTGTATTAGGTACTCATTGTTTACTTGTATTTAACTCAGATATCGAACAACATTGATTTTTTCGTCGTTGGTTGATGTCGAAAATCGTTTTGATTTTACAGCTCAATAAATTAATAATGATTAATCCGATTTGAAACGCTTAAACCACTCATAACATTGTATGAGGCTCATACAATCTTTTTTATAACCTCGCTGGAGCAATGTTCACGTTTCGGAAAAAAACATTTCCCAAGTAAAAATCAAAATTTAATGTTTGAACGTTGCTCTATAAAGTCTTTCTACACTATCACAGATTGGTCATAATTATGTGTTTATTCAGCCGGCATTAGGTTCTAACCGATAAGAACTAAATCCAAAGTGAAAAACGTTGTCTCGTTGCTAAAAATATACGAATACCGATATATGCCAATTTTTACGGAATTACGATTTCTTTTTTCTTCTAATCTACCACGTACGTAAGTAGGTGTAACTGTTTAAGTATAATACACTTTCATTGATTTTGTAGAGAATAATAATTTATACTTATATTGTATTTCAAACTGATGTCATTTAGTCTAATTTAATTCCGCTTGTTATAAATAATTTAAATTATTGGTTTTTGTTTCAATACATTAGTTTAACTAAATATTCTAAATATTAATCTTAAATTCCGTCGGGGAGTGCCGAAGGAGTAGAATTACGCGAAAATCACTCGGGAGAGTTCAGTAATATTTTTTTCCGTAATGATATTATTGTTATTTCAACAGTATATTGTAGTTTATATTAAATAATTTGCCATACTTTTAGTCGAAACAACTAAACTTTGTTATAGCATAGGCGTGCGCACGGGTGAGGCAATAGAAGCCGTGGTCTTCAGTGCGAGATTTTCCGACGCCCTGTAAGATCTTCCGTCATAGTATTTAGAATATTTTTTTTTCCAAACCGACATTAAAAATCAGCTTTCTTAGCAATTATTGTATATTTATTATCAGACGCATATTTTTATAAATAGAACGCGTTTCTATCAAATAATATAATATCGCTATATCCTACTCCTCTCATAGCTGTAGCTGGAAAAAAAACTTGGAGGTTCTGACTCCTAGACCCTCCTCCCTTTAAACTTACTTCTTCTGTAAAGACGAGGAACTGCGCTCGCTCATTATTATGTTTGTTAATAGGTTCAGTTGCGTGGACTACTACTGCGTGGCTTGTCTAACTGTAATTTATTCAACTAAAAACGTTTAGTAATTTTTCAGAACTCTGGAAATCCATTCGTACACGGTGCTCCACGCGACCGTTACACACCGATATTAACGATATTATACCGATATATTTCATTATATTATTTGCACGTGACTTTCGTCCGACATTTCACGTCCGTGCGACGACCGTTACACCGCGGCGGCACACGCGCGTTTACGTGCGGCCCGTTTCACTTTTTGGAAAACTCGGCTAACCGCCCGGTCGTTATTCACCTTCCATTATACTGCGGAACTCGAGTCGGAAATAATAATAATTAATAATATTATATCGATCGTCCTAAATAGAATATTCTCGCGGGAACCTCGTACGCACATAATGGTATAGAGGTGTATGTAGGTACCGACGGTGTTTGTTTTTCGTAAGCGAATCGTATTTTCAATTACCGCCCATACCAGAAACTTACCTACCGGGCGCACGGTGACTGAAAACAAAAGCCCGAGACGAAACACAATGCGTGCGCCAGTTCCTAATATTATTATTATATCAACAACCGAAATAGTTTCCCACCCGCGGCGACTTTATCGCGATAATTAATAATCGGCATTCAGCGAGCTTCGAAAACAACCGACAATATCCGTTTCACGAAACGCGGGATTCTCGTAGGTATCGATATAATAATAATAATAATAATAATGTTGTCGTATGCCTACGTATTGTAGACGTGCCTCGGCGGCGTAGGTTTCCACGCCGAAAACAGGGTCAAACGGAAATTGGAACGAACTGCGCGAACGCACCGCGCACAGTATTATAATTGTTATTTTTCGTACCCGTGCCTATACATACTTAGGCATCGGTTCGAGGCGAACACAATGCAAAAGGCCCGTAATTTAATTAAAATATTATCATAATGATAATAATATTATACTTGATAATAATGTGGAGTAGCGGCGGCGGCGCGCCCGTATTCGCCTGTGTCTTATTAACGACGACGGCGAGAATGTGTTTGGTAGTTAAGTGGCAGAAAAAAAAAAAAAAAGAGAAAAAGAAATACAAGTTGTTTTGTTTTTACTATTGTAATTATGATATTATTGTTATAATGGTACACGCACGCGTGTGTGTAAAATACGGTTGTGTACACGCCTAATTGAAACTGGTCTAAAATCCGTCCGGAAAATCTTTTCCCACCGGACGCGTTTTCGCTGTAGGTATACAATAATATTATTGTATAGTTAAGATCAAATATGTACGATCCGAAAAAAATTATAATTAATAGA